GGTTGCAAAGCACTGGCACAGTTATCCTACTTACTATAAAGCGCTTCGTCTGTCGTTCTGTCTGTCGTTCTGTATGTCTGTCACGAAATTCCCTAGCTCCTCGCGATCCGCCTGGAGGGACAGGGTCAAGTGTGGGACGGGTGGGCAAGGTCCAACGAAGTACAAAACACACATCAGCTAAGCGGAGCCCCGCCCACAGTGGGCGTGGCGTGCGTCGAAATGAATTGTACCGAAGACCACGATTTCAGTTTCAGTGGGAAAACAGCCTCGAAACTGGGCCAAAAAGTGGGTGAAGGTGTACATTGGTAAGTCACATCAAATGAGGGAGACCCACCCCCAGTGGGCGGAGCGTTCTCCAAAAAAGCGGTGCTTTGTGAAAAATTTCAAAACTCGGTTGGGAGGAAAACTACAGAGCAGAAAACAAAATGATGCAGGAGAGCAATGTCTAAGGTGTGCCCAGCATACACGAAGTTTACGGAGGCCCGCCCACAGTGGGCGGAGCGTGCTCTGAAGTGAACAGCATTTTCTACGAATCTCGGGCCGGAGACAACGCCATAGGAGCCGCGAAAAATGGTGGAGATAGAGGTTGGTGGATGAGTAAAGAGCTAACAGTCAACAATGGGCGGGGGTCTATGGACCAAAGTGGGCGGAGTGGCGAAAATTTATAACTCGGTTCCAGGAGTCCAGGAGACTGGGAAAAAGGTGGATAGAATTGGGTGGGAGAGTGGAGGCTAACAGCCATCAATGGGCGGGGCATGACCAAAGTGGGCGGAGTTTGCGACGAAAATTCATAACTCGGCTCCAAGAAGTCCCGGAGGCCGGGAAAAAGGTGGATGGAGGTGGGTGGAGGAGTGGAGGCCAGCTGTCAATGGTGGGCGGGACATGAATGGGAGAGAAAAGTTGGGGGAAAAGACGCTCAACTGCTGATTAGTGGGGTCAGAGCACGCACCTAAGTGGGCGGAGTTTGCCAAAAGTGTCGTAATTTGGTTCCAAGAGGTCCCAGAGACCGGTGAAAAAGGGGGTAGAGGTCGGCGAAAAGAAGGGAGCCAAATGCTATTGGTCGGCAGGGCACGCACCGAAGTAGACGGAGTTCGCCACGAGATTTATTGTCCGGGCCGAGGACCGAGAAAAATAGGATAATGGTTGACGAAGAAAGAGCGGATAGAATTTAGCGGAGAATTCAGATATTCGTATTGTATCAAGCCAAATTTGAAATTTTCGTCGCACCATCAAAATTCGCCGCAGATCTGTGTTGCGCGCGCGCAATGCGTGCGCGCAACTGCGTAATTTATACTCGAGAATAAACGTCAAAAAAATCGTGTAAGAACATAAATTGGCAAAAGGAATTATCCACAATAACCGACGAAGAATAGTCGCTATAGGGAATCATATGAGATACAAATATTCAGAAACAGGGCGTTTACTATTTCTGGAACCATTTCAGGTGGCAGCGGGCTGAATGTTAACGCTAAAGCCAAGGGTTCTACGAATGTTCAACGGACTTTGGTACGTTTTTTGAGAATTCCCTCAGAGGGGAATTGGTTTTTGGTTCTGAAGTCTGACAATGATTGTTTCAGGGGCCAGTGTCTTCACAGTGTATTTGGCAGCGTCCGAAGAAGGACTGCTAATCGTGCTGTATGACTGGGCATGATTCTTTCCCTCCATTTGGCATCATCTATGTCTAACTCTCAATTGTTATCTTCGCATTGGCTAGTCAAGTGTGGCCGCCGTTGCATAACCTATTCGAAGGATGCAAGCACTCATCTGGTCGTTTTGAAAACGTCATTTTATTCGAGCTCGAATAGTAATCTGAATTCCAGTCATACATAAAGGTCATCAATGAGACCTATGACTGTTTAAGAGGTAGTTTATAATGAGGTCACGGCGCGAGTTCATGGCGTGCCGCGCGCGGCAGTTGATTTCCATCACACTCGTCTCCAACCTCATCAAGTTGCGCGCTTTTCGTCGTTCATGGGCCTCCACTTCTACACTCCTCGAGTAATGCCTCGAGTTAAAATGTCAACACACTCTGAGATGTATGCTTGCGCGTGACCAAAGGCAATCTTAAAAGGACGAATTCACGATCAGAGGGAAAATCGAATTAGGAAGAATTCACCTGGTTGAGGGACCCGCGGAGCTCCTAAGTGTGCGAACTGAAGCACAATTTGCACAGGAGGAGTTGACCTCGTTGACCTATTAAGGTTTAATCCCGCCGCGGCTGGTCAGTGCACGCCCACCGATCATCTGATCACTCGCCGCAGGTCTATACGTGGTGAGTGATTAGATAGGTGAGAGAGCGTAGCGTTGAAGAGGGCACAGCGATGATAGTCGCATCAATGCTCAAATCAACGGGCAAGGAAGGGGTCCCATTTCTCGGGTTCTGGGCCGTTTCTCATGGTTCTTCCTTCTTTCGTGTACCACTCACCATCCCTAGGTTAATTTGAAATGGGTTGCTTCATCGTGAATTCGTCCTTTAAAGGAGGCGATTACTGATGAGATCCTCACAGGGTTTAGAGGGACGTGGAGCCTCAATAGGTACGCCAATGACGAAAAAAAGCAAAGAAATCCGTCAAAATATAACAAAATAGTACCCCTTTTGATTGCCCTTTCATTTTTCGACCATGGATGAGCGACGGTGAAAGCACGACGTTGTTCTTTACCGTCGCTCATCCATGGTCGAAGATGAACGTTCGGACGTGTTAACCCCGATAGCCGCCATCATGCCAACAAGCATAGTGTTTGATTGATAAGGCAATACGTGGGCAAGTTGGAAGATACAGCCGCTAGAAGGGAAATGATCATCCAAAATGAAAAGCCAACAGCAAACAGTCCATCCAGATCATCAACAAAACTAGTGGGCGTTACGTCACTGGGGGCGGGGCGTCACGCGGGTCCTGCTCAGCAACCACAGCACCTTTCGCCGTGGGAGGGCCACACATCGCTTCCTTGGCAGCCAAGTAATTGCTCCGTGTGGCGCAGGTTCTCCCCCGATGCGAAAATTCCTTATCGTAATCGCTTCCTTTAAAGAAAAAGTTGTTTTCCTGTAACTGAAGATTTATGCCATGACTTGAATATCAGATTGTTGTTTCAGAACGTCTTCATCGCTGTGATCACCGAGACATTCGCTGAAATTCGAGTTCAGTTTACGAAATGTGGCAGAAGAAGGACATGACATTCGACGAAGAATTTCGGCAGGTCAGCACTGTGTTGATTGCAATAGTTAACGATTAATTGATTTCTGATGAATGCTTTTAGAAACTCGAGAAAAACGAGGACGGTTGGCGTCTTATCCGATTGGATGCCGACGTCAGTTATGCCGGAAGAAAGCAAACGCTACAAAAGGTGATTATCAGTGCTTAAAAAAAAGTCGTATCCACCATTTGGGGATTTCCCCCACTTTAATGGTTATAAGGCCTCAGTTTCTAGGACTGTTGTGGGGGGTTCTCGTTCGAGAAATTAATTCTAACATTTTTTTCTACATCCAAACTGCAAATCTTGAAGGCATATAAAGCGATTACTTCAGTGGAACAGTACCTCTCTTGAATTGAAGCTGAGTCAGAAGCCACGGGCGTTGTGAATTTCTCGACATAAGCGCAAGCAAGTGCGCTGAAGACTAATTATTTGCGCCCTTGTGCGAACCACGCATGCACGCCTACCATTGCAACTGCTCTGTCCCCTGTGTCAGTGCCTTGCCCGTCCCCTGTGCTCTCTCGTCTCGGAGTCTATACTCTATACGCGACCTTCAGTACCTTTACGATCGTCACCATTATAAACTCGTCCACTGCCGGGAAAAACCTATTATTTTTAGTGTTTGCAGCGGTTCCTGTCCCATTCTTCCTCACAGGCGAGTGAAGTATGTAGCAGCTATCCCTTCATATTAATACCCACCTCACTATCCTTAGCTCAGTGGCACGGGATATTGCTTAATCTGTAGAGGTTTTCGATCAACTGTAAGGTTAGATAACCTTGTTTGTGTACTGCGACGTGGAGTAGTGACCTTTTTAAACTGTGCGTGAAAGACGATCAGAAAGAATAAGGATTTATTTACAAACAAAATCACTAAATGGGTGTGTATGGAAAGATCGCTGGTGAACGGAGACACGGAGGCGAGTCGTAGTTGGCGAACTCGAGGCGACCACCGAATACGGGACCACAGTCGGGTGCACGGCGCGAACTATTCCTTGACACAAGCCACAAAGGCTTCCTACGTTGAGCCACTGAGGCTCTTTCAACTCACTGCCACTAAGGCTTATCAACTCGAGCCACTAGGCTTCCTTATAATCAGCCACTTAGGCTCCTTATAATCTGCCACTTAG